TCATTGCCAGTTTATGGGGCTGAGGACACAGTATTACAAAGTTTCCTACATAATATGATCTGAAGCTTTCAGGAAATTGATAGCATCAACCTTAAGAAAGAACACAATAAGGGCACTTCACCTATGTAGTACTCTTCCATAATATCCATAACTTCTGGCTGCTGATGAGAAAATATCAAACAAACCCAAAAGGAAGGATATTCTAGAAAACATCTGACCAGTACTCTTCCAAAGGTTGAAGAAAATGAACAAGAAGAAAAGATCAAGAAGCGTGCAAACATCCGAGGTTACTGAGTCCATAGGTGGCAAAAAAGGTAAAACTCTTGACTGCGAATCATAAGGTTTGAATCCACTTCAGAATAAAGTCCTGGGGATGTACTCACCGAAAAAAAAAAAAAAGCTGTCATTAAAAACACCATGGAACACAGTTTTGTTCTGATACAAATGGTATTTCCATGAACGGAACAGTAGCTGGAGCTCTGGTGGTGTAGTGCCTAAGGCATTTGGCTGCTAACCAGAGGCGGGTGGTTCAAACCAATCAGCCACTCCTCCAAAGGAAGATTGGGAGATACAGCCTCAGAAACCCAAGGAGAGGTTGCTATGAGTCGGGACTGATTACATGGCCGTGAGTTAGGATTTTTTGGAAGGATTCTTGACAGTTAAATGCGACTTGGTATCCAAGACTAGATATAGGAACAGAAAAAGACATTAGCATAAAAACTGATGAAGTTTTAATACAATCAGTAGTTTAGTTAACATGTTGTAGCAAAGTTAACGTGGTAATTTTGACAAATATGCTATGCTTATGTTATATGTTATTATTAGGGAAAATAGTGTAAAGGATATACCAGAACTCTCTGGACACTATATCTCAACTGTAAATCAAAAATAATTTCAATATAAAAACTAAACCAAAAACACCACAGTGGAGTTGGATCCGACTCATAGTGACACTTCCTTGGGTTTTCAAGGTGGTATCACTACGGAAGTAGATTGCCCAACCTTCTATATAAACATTAAAAATAATAATTATAATCTCTATCTCTCACTGAATACTGACCTGTGTTTTCTACATGATGATTATTACTTTTTTTTTAACAACTACTTCACTCTCTAAATGCCCTCTCTGCTTCTCTTCTAATTGTAAGGGTGTGTTTAAAACTCTGTGTTATATCTCCTGTAGTTGAAAATAGTATGTTATGTCTTGATAAAAGAGTTCTCTGTTAACTGAAAAAAAAGGGAAAGAATGGATAGAATGAGCTCATACTTTCTATCTTAACTTCTTGTTGCTGAAAAAAATACACTAAAGTGAATATCTGGAGATTCAGGATTTGGACCCAGCTCAAGCACTAACAAAGCACACAGTGAATGTATGATTGTTTAACCTTTATGGACTTCAAGAGATATGTTTGTGTGCATTTACATTTATTTAAAGCTAAGAGACTAAAATATTGGAGAATATATTATTTATTCACAATTTTAGAAATTAGCTGTCATATAGAGAAAAGTAGGATTCATAAAGTTTATCAAGGTTGACATATATATGAGCAAATATTAAAAATACAATACATTTCCATATATGGCACACAAAGTTAGAAAGCACAATTTTAAATGTCTATTAAAATAGTAACAAAAATTAAGAATACCTATAAGAAAAGGAAAGTCTCCATAAATTAAGCTATATTGACTCCATGTGATGCTAACATTAATTAATCAATCAATTAATTAATTAAACAGTTTTTCATGGGATTTGAGAGTCTGATTTTAAAAGTTATATGAAGAGAACAATAGGGAGAAATGTCTGAAACTACCTGAGACTAACAACAACAACAAGGTCAGGGAAATTGCTCTGATATGTATTCATGATTATTATACAGCCATACTATTTAAGAAATTTTAGGTGTTAATGCAGCAAAACATAAATAGATAATGGTTAAGAATAGAGACAGTGAGAGATACATGTTTACAGAAACTTTTTTACATGAAAAAAGTACTTATAAGCTACTGTCGTAGTGTGAAATTGTTCAGACCTTAAGATACATTTCAGAGGATTTGTTGGATTTTTAAAGACCCATGTGAATGAGGGAAATCACCAGTTCACACAAGTTAAAACAAGGTGACTCCTGAGAGAAGGTGTGGGGCAGGCATGGCTATAGGGCCAAAAGAGGGATTTACAACACAATTTAGTGATAGGTTAAATATTCATTTAGGTCAGAAGAGGAAAAGTCAAGCAAAATGAGGAAGATATTTCCTTTTGTTCACATTGTAGTTTATGGGGGGCTACAAAGATAGGTTACAGGGTTAATTGTAAAATTCATTTAGGCACAGAGATTTACAATCATAGTCACACAATTCTTACAATACATACATTTCAGAACAGGTTGTAAAAACATCTACTTTGATGTCAAACAGTTCTTGGGGATGCTTGGTATCAGAGCTGGCCATAAGAATGGGCTTCAACTCTCCTTCCTTAGAAATTGTTCAACAGAAATCTTTCTGGTTATCTGGGAACCTTAGATAAATAGTTGAGGTCTTTTACCTGAGTCAAAATTTCTGTACACTTATCATGAAAAGAGTATCTTTTTAGGCCATTTTATGCAAATGTATTTAGGTTGCACTTCTTCCACATCCTGCCTTCATTTCAGTGAAAACATCTCCCCAGCTACCTGTGGTCCTAGCCTGATAAAGAGCCTAAAGGGCAGACATTGTTTACTTCAATTTTAATGCTGCTCAATGTGGCAGAAACATGGATTTTGTTGAAGAAATTTACCTTAGCTAAAGGTTCAGGAAAATTTCTCTTTGACACTACATGTGTGCAAGCATAGAAAGGTGAATTCTACAATAATAAAAAATGAGAAAATTGAGAAAGAATAATCAATCCTTACTACACATGATAGACAAAATTTAATAATGGACACGTTAAGACATAATACTCAACACAATACCTTAAACTACCTAGAAGAGAGAATAAAATAATATTTTTATTACCTTGACTAAGGAATTTTTTTTTAACTCAAGATATAAAGGCATGAAATTCAAAGGAATGACAATTTTTAACAAAATTAGAATTAAGATTTTTATTAAACAATGCAATAAATGAAACAAAAACACAACTTACCAAATGGAAGAAGGCTTTGGTGAATATGTAATGAAGAAACTATTGTGTTCTATACACACACACATACACATATATATCAAGAATCTCACAAATCAATAAAGAAGAGAACATAACCCAATTAAAAATGAACAAATGACATAAAGCAGTATTGTACAAAAGAGGAACAATTACTGAGCGTGTTTTGGAAACATGCCCAACATCATTAGTAATCAAGCAATTGAAAATAAAAACCACAGTGAGGTACAATTTTATACCCGCTACATTAAAATTACTAACTAACCCATTCTTGGTGAGAGTATAAAGCCAAGGGGCATTTGTGAATTAACGTGAGGATGAAATACCGTGACTACTCAGGAAAATATTCCTGTAGTATTGAAATTTCCAATACCCTATAGCTGAGCAAGAAGCTTTGGTATCATAGTGCCTTAGACATTTGGCTGCTAACCAGAGGCTGGTGGTTTTGAACCTACTCCTTGGAAGGAAGGTTAGGCAGCCTACTTCTGTAGTGATACTGCCTCGGAAACCCAAGGAGGGGTCACTATGAGTTGGGTCCGACTCAATGGCACATAACAACAACAACAGCAACACAGCCTAGCAACAATAATCTCAGATATACGTGGGCAACAACAGATATCATAAGCCTGCTTCTTAGCAGCATTGTTCAAAATAACATCTGGAAACTATTGACCAGAGAAAGGAATAGATATTAACTACCACATCAATACAGATGAATACTAGAAATTAATATTGAGGAGAAATTTTTCATCTCAGAACAAAATATTCAATATAATTTTTACACATATTAATGTCTTAATAATAAAGTTACCCTAAAATAATATGATACAACATTTCTCTCTAAGGAAAAGAGGACTTGAAGCACTTACTGACAAAGATCAAACACAACAGCCTTCAGAAAGGATTACATCTCAAAACAAACAAAAAAATAAATTCCTCACAATTGGACCAATAAACAATATCATGATATACAGAGAAAAAAAAAAAAAAAAGTGAAATTCTCAAAGATTCACTTTACATAGATCCATAATCAATGCCCTTGGAAATAGCAGTCAAGAAATGAAATGATGCTTTTCACTGGACAGGTGCTGGAAAACAAAAAACAAAACAAAACAAAACCTTCTTAATGTATTAAGAAGCAAAAATGTCCCTTTGAGGATGCAGGTGCACCTGATCCAAACCATGGTATTTTCCGTCATATGGTGTTGTGGTTAGATGCCATTGGTCAGTCCTGACTCGGTACAGAACAACAACAAATACATTGTATAAATCTGACAAAATTCTAAAATGCAAGGAGAGGAGGAATAGTCCAAATAATGACTACTTCAGTAAAGGAGCTAGAAGGATGCAGATAAAAGAAGGAAGGACAAGGAGCTTCAGTAAGGTTTTATTTTTTAATTTGATTATTTAGGCAAGATATTTATCATATTAATCATATATATATTTCTGTTTCATATTTTCTATTTGTGGATAGTTTTATGATAAAATGTACAATGCAGATTATTTTCTTTCTTTCTTTTTTTATTTTGAAAGATGTGCTTTCCTTCATTACAGGAAATATATGAGGTCCTTTGTTGCCACATTCAGGCATGGAATGACTCTTCAGTGAAAGCCTATAAATTTACTCTCTGTGATAAATTTTTAAAATCTTTTTCTTGACTGTGTCTCTCACTTCCTCTTTGAGTTATTAAATGTATTAAATAGCATAAAATTAAACTTTATGTTACCCCTAAGTAATGGCAAATCAGATCTAAGATTAATTTTGATAATCCACAAAAGTCAAGAATTGAAATATTTTATTCATGCTCTAAAAATTAGCTGGACTAAATTTACATATATAAAAGTGTCCAAAAATTCAAAATTGCAGCCAAATCTGGCCTTGGGGAGAATCCAAAGGAACTTGCATTCTCAGAGGCTCCCCTACCTACACCTTCATTCAAAGCCCCCAAGCATAAACCTGCCCTTGTGACTTATCAACATGTTCCTTCTAAACAATTCACTCCCTTTCTTCTTATCCCATAAGCTATTTGCAGATAATAGTTTGGTGAAGTCTCTCCCTGGTGACTTTCTGCTACTCAGGGAAGACAAGTATCAGTCCACCATAGTATACTAAAGTCAGATTTTTCACTGCCAATATATTCTTTTAGTTTTTTCCCTGAGGTTATGGGTCTCTTTGGAACCTGTCTTGAATAATAATTAGTTTGGAAAATGGAGGTAGAAACAGGAATGCTCTTTACATTAGAGAGCATTTATTCAGAGAGAAGAGCATAGGATAAGAACGGAGAGAAAGCTTCTGCGGAACTTGACCGGCCAGAGACCTTCTCTCAGTCTCTGACACTTGTTCTCCAGACTGTTTGTACATGACATCCGTGGGGAACAGCGGAGCTACCTCTGCAGGAAATGAAAGAGAAGCCTCCGTGAGGATACTCTCTGTCTCATGAAATTGAGGGATCTGTGGTTCTCTGAATGGGTCATTGGAGATTTCTGAAATCCCCAAAGGTATAATTTGCTTCTTGGCACCTGAGCAAACATTGAAACACTTCTATCACAACAAAAAAGTCCAAGTTTTTCGTGGATATATATATTTTTAGTAGGTAAAAATTAAAAAGATGAATTACTTTTAGAAAATGGGATAATAATCAAATAATTATTTTTATATCTGCCTCTATAATTAAAGTGCATAAGCTTACAATTCATATTCAAGTACATGTTCATAGGCATATCTCATGAAAATAATTCGTTCTTTCATAAAAAAAGTTATTATCTCTTGTCTTTCGTGGAAAAAAAAATGTAGTGTCTTAGAAAATTCTGCAAAAAAAAATACATATAGCAGCAAATACTCTTTTTCTTTTTATGATTGTTGTTGTTGTTATGTTCTGCCAAGTCAGTTCTGACTCACAGTGACCGGGTATACAACAGAACAAAACACAGCCTGATCCAGTGCCATCATCACAACAATTGCTATGTTGGAGCCCACTGTTGCAGCCACTGTGCCAAACAATCCAGTTAAGAGTCTGCCTCTTTTTCATGGACCCTCTATACTTCTAAGTATTATGTTATCTGGGACTGGTACCTCCTGATAACATGCCCAAAGGATGTGAGATGAAGTGCTGTCATCCTCATTTCTGAGTATTCTGGCTGTACTTTTTCCAGAGATATGTGTTCATTCTTCTAGCAGCCCATGGTATATGCACTATTCTTCATCTATTCAGTAATCATGGTGTGGTACTTAAAGTTGTGTGCCAACTTGGCTGGGCCTGGTTTTGAGTGGCTGGGCAGCTAGATGTAGTTATTCCCAGTGATGGGACTGGTCATCAACTCCATGGTGTAATCTGCTGTGAATAGCTGAGTAGCTGCCTTAGGGATGTAGTCTGCTCCTAGTATATAAGAGACGCTTGGAGAATAGTCTCTTAACCTTTTGCCATGCTTGGATACTGCATGTAGCAGAGTCTTCATTCAGCAACCTGCCGCGTTGGCTGCCAATCTTGAGACTATTTCTGGACTTGAGCTGGTGGCCTGCCATGTTGCCTGATAATTTTGGGACTGTGCCATTTTTCTTATTGATCTTGGGTTGTCAGCCTCAGCAGCCAGCAGCTGCCTGAGTTAAGAGAAGCCTTCAGCTTCAGTGGGCTGTGAGCAAGAGGTAGAGCCTAAGGTCAAGGGGCCTTCACCCAGCCTCTGATGTTGGCACTTAGAACTGGGACCATAGCCTCCTAAATTATAAGAGAATAAATTGCTCTTTTTTAAAGCCATTCACTTGTGGTATGTCTGTTAACAGCAGCACTAGAGAACCAAACCACATGTTATACGTAATTAAATGTATTTTTCATGATTAGGGGAGATAAATCAAAGTTTGTTACTAAACTTAAATATTTAACTTAAATATTTAAGTAATCAATATTTAGTTCATTTATTACTAGAGAAATTTGTGTCTTTAAGCAAAGCATCTTTTCTTTTTTTTTAAATTGTCATTTGGGTGAAGGTTTGCATAGCAAATTTACTTTCTGTACAGTGGTTCACATATACTGTCTCATTACATTGACCAAAGTTTACCACAATGCAACAGCTCCCCTCCCACTTCCTTCCCATAGTTGCCTCTTCCCTGTGTCCATCCCTCCATGCACTCCTGCTCCCTGAGCTGTCTCCTTGTGCTTAAGCAGCCCTTCTTTCTCCCATGATTGTTCTCTCCAAGGAGTATATCTACTTGAGGTAAACGTTCAACACATATGCCTGTCTTTTGTTTGGCTGGAAACCACAGGTGTGGGTTCAATTCAAGATCCGAAGGGCAGATGGGGGCCATAGTCTCAGTGGTTCCACCAGGCTCTATTGGACCAGCAAACATGGTCCCCTCACCCCCCC